AGCTGTCAGCACAGAGCCCGAGGCGGGGCTGGAACTCACGGACTGTGAGATCATGACCTGAGCCAAAGTCGGAAGCCTAACCAACTGAGCCACCCAGGCACCCCTATTTTTTGGATATTTTAACATCTTTGTCAATGTTCACTCAATCTTAGAGAGAGATGGGCCAACTCAGATTGATTTATTTTTCTCTTTGTTACCATCTCTGGCAAGAGATGCTATTGGATATCTCAGTCACATGATCCTATACATGGGTACACAGCTATGAATGTGTAAGTGAGAAATACTGCTTTGCTCCTATCCCATTACCTTTATGTTTTTGAATATGTGTATATATGCTCCTATGTAAATACTTCAATGTGTATATGATTATCTTATTTCCTGGAATGCATAAATTTATTCTACAATCTATAAAAGACCAATGAAACTCCTCCTGTAACTGCTTGTAATATTTCTCAGCTGTGGTTCTAATGTTTTCCCCAAGACTAAGTACGGAGTCGTGATTACAGTGGCAAATTAACACAGTGTATCGTGATTTCCAGAATAATGACTTCAGAATGATATTGAATGGTCAGTCACCTGCACTGTTTGGGAGTGAGGACTAGTCCTATAATAATTGACTCTTCAGGAAGTTTTCTCCTGGTAGGAAATTCAATTCAGAGAACAGAGCATCTATAATCGAGGATGTCTAATGAGTCATGGGGAACATTAGAGAATGGGCAAGATGTTGTATTTATGTTTAAATGTTTATGTAACATTCATTGCTGGAGGGAAACCAGATATTACAGCTTGTGCAATCATCATGCTGTTTCTCTTCCTGTCTCCTGGATAGCTACAAAAAAGGAATCTATGATTTGATATTATCCCTGGAATGCATTCACGATCCTGCTGTTTCCTTTAGAGTGTATGGGAAATCGGCAAACCTAACCTGCAACCCAGTTTATTTTAATTTGAAAAAGACATAATAATGCAAAAACTACCTGGCTGGTTCCCTGGATAGCTATACTGGTTAACTTCCCTAAAGTTGTTGACAATTTACCAGCATCCTATCTCCTGCCCTGTTTACTTATTGATGATGCTTATCATGGCTAACATTTATCATGACACTTTAAGCCATTTCTAATAGAACGCATCTGAACTAATTAGTTCCTTTTTGAGTTTTGTAGCATTTCTTATTTTCATTTCAAAAATCCAAAGCAACAAATATCCACCCTTTAGCACCAGCACTTTTTTTTAAAAAATTATTTCAGTGCCTTTGCCATTGGATATATGCACCTACTATGAATTTGTTCATGTTCATTTTCTAATACTTTACAAAATGATACTCTGCTTTCTCTTCAGATCGTATAAATCTTTCGCCTTAATACTTTACAAAATGTTTTTTAATGTGTATTTATTTTTGAGAGAGAGAGTGTGTGAGTGGGCAAGGGGCAGAGAGAGAGGGAGACACAGAATCCAAAGCAGGCTCCAGGCTCCGAGCTGTCAGCAAAGAACCCAAAGCGGGGCCCAAACTCATGAACTGTGAGATCATGACCTAAACCAAAGTCAGACACTTAACCAACTGAGCCACGCAGGTGCCCTTCTATTTTTTTTAATTCAACATTAACATGCCCAGGTAAGCACACACATGTGTTTGGAATCATTCAATCATTAATTAATAAGCAGATCTATATCTAATTTCATGGCAAGTATAGTCTAATAGTGCTTATTTACACAGTTAAAATAGACTGTTTAGTGACAAAGCTATCAGAATTTTTAAGGCATGTCTCTACTTAATAAAGTCATTTTCTCATTATTCATAAGGAATTTACATCTTTGCCTCTGCTTTTTTATATTCCCCTGCCTTTATTCACTTTCATTTATCAGAGAAGCATAAAGTAGTAGAAGTTAAATATTTCTACTTTATATAATAATTGGATTTTAGGGGAAAGGTTGTAACTGCAACCTAAAAGCTAATTTGAATATACATAAAGTTTTCATATTAGTGACTAATTTTTTCTATTATATCTTTCAATCTTTTTGCTAATCATAAAAATTGTCTGCCCAAGGACAGATGAAATTACAAAGCATTTCATCCAGAACACTCATCAGAATGAGAGGTAAATAGCGAGATAATGCTGAAGACTCCTACTTAAGTATTGCAGATGCGTATAGTACATGGGGCCATCACAGAGCAGGATCCTCAAACATCACCTGTTTCCTTGTCTTTCCCCAAATCAATCAGGCAGTACAGAATCTGTGGAAAGGGCTAGAGTATTACAAAACAATGTTGAATTTTATCATCTGTTGAGGTAAACAGGAGTCAGGTCAGAAAGTGTCATGGACCAGGCAATGCCAATGGGATATGAGACAGCACAATGATGGCAAATAATAGTGTCAGAAAAAATTCTTACACTCTTTTTTTTCAAAGTTTTTTAAAGTTTATTTACTTATTGTGAGAGAGAGAGAGAGAGAGAGAGAGAGTGCACGAGCGAGTGTGAGCAGGGGAGGGGCAGAGAAAGAGAGAGAATTACAACCCTGAGGCAGGGCTCAATCCCATGAAGTATGAGATCATGACTTGAGCTGAAATCGAGAGTCAGATGCCTCACCAACTGGGCCAACCCAGGTGCCCCTAAAATTCTTATACTCTCAATTTCAGGAAACTAAGAAAGGAAGGAACGCAGAGACAACCAAGAGATCATAGTAGCCTTTGTAGCACTGTCTGTTTTCTGCATCTGCTATATTAACTGAGCCCTCCCTCATGCCCACCATGGACCAAAAGTAATCAAAGAGCCCATGGAAGCGAGCGGAGGGGTAGGGGGTACATAGGGGATAAGATGATGGAAGAAAGGCCCATTGGGGATCCTGGAGGTGGGGGGGGGATGGGACAGAACAAGAAAAGGGTACAATCTTACTAGGACTAAGATATTTGGAGACTGACTCGCAGCAGACCTCTGGGCATAATTCCAGGCCTTAATTAGGATTCCGTAGCAATTTTTATGATAAAATAATTTTCAGGGGCACCTTGGTGGCTCAGTCTGTTAAGCATCTGACTCTTGATTTCAGCTCAAATCATGATCTCATGGTTTGTAGCTACAAGCCCCGCATCAGGCTCTGTGCTGGAGAGCTTGGAGCTTGCTTGGAATTCTGTCTCCCTCTCTCTCTGCTCTCTCTTGCTCGCTCACTTGAATGCTCTCTCTCTCTCTCTCTCAAAAATAAATAAGTAAACATTTTTTTAAAAAAAGAGAAAAAAAGATTCTCTCCCTCAGCCCCTCTCCCCCACTCGTTCTGTCTCTAAAATTAAATAAATAAATAAATAAATAAATAAATAATAAAGAAAGAAATAGATAAATAAAATCTTAAGAAAAAAAGATTAATTATTTTTCCTAGATATCACTAGTTTTTACTTCAGTCACTTATGTCTGAATCTTCTTAAGGTTTCCAGCCATTCTGGGGGCGCCTGGGTGGCTCAGTTGGTTAAGCATCCAACTTCAGCTCAGGCCATGATCTCACGGTTCATGGGTTCGAGCCCCACGTCAGGCTCTGTGCTGGCAGCTAGCCTGCTTCTGTGTCTCCCTCTCTCTCTGATCCTCCCTTGCTTACGCTGTCTCTATCTCTCTCTCAAAAATAAATAAAACATTAAAAAGAATTTTTAAGAAAAGTTTCCAGCCATTCTACCCACTTTATCTTCTAAGTGCAAATGAGAAGCTGGAAAGGGTTCTTTCCAGCCACTGTGCCCTTGAAATAAGAAGTGTAGACACCAGACAAGGATCAGAGCTTGCAGGACACAGCTATGAAACTATGCTACAAGTGGGGGAGCATCAGAACTCAGACCTTCAAAACAATGCGCTGCCACTAGCATGTAGCCTCAGAGCTTGAAGAAATGCCAGAGAACATCTCATCTCAGCTAAAGGCCACAGGAACAAGAGCGCTTGGTCAACTCAGTTGGTTAGCCATCGGACTTCAGCTCAGGTCATGATCTCATAGTTCTGAGCCCTACATGCAGCTCTGTACTATCAGCATAGAGCCAGCTTCAGATCCTCTGTCCACTGCCTCCACTCTTAAAAACAAAAACAAAAACAAAAACAAACATGAAAAAAGACCACAGAATCAATTCAGTTCATCTGTGGCCAAGCCCAACATTAGGCTCTCCAATTATTAATAATAATAATGTCCATAGTACCTCATGCGTGCCCTTTACAGGTGTTACTTCGCTTAATTCTACAACCGCTCCCATGTTTTAGGTATATATTTCTATTTGTACATTCTTAGGTGAGGAATCTGAGACCTAGAGTGGGTGAGTTACTTGCTTGGCCTCAAAACTGATGAGCTTCCTTCCCTGGACCCACACAAACTCCCACCCTTAAGGAGATGCTTCTTTCCCTACTGACAGCCTCCCACTTCCTTCACCCATGGAAACATCTGCAGAGAAGCCCGGCTACTTGGTGCTTCCCTTAGCTTCATTATGCCTCATTGTGCAGTAAATTACTGAATTCCGCTTACATCTGTATTATACATAGAAAGTATCATCAGAACACAAGGTCTTGAATTTAGTAATGCTGGGTTGTCTCTTTAATTGGGAAAAAAGAATAAGAGCTTGTTTGTCCTCATTCTTTCCAAGATCCCAACTGTTCCTTGCAATGGTTTAAGCAATTTGACGCCTAAGAAGAAATTCATTATCTCCAGTTTCAAATCTGTTAGTTCTGTGTGAAAAATAAAGAATTTATAATCACGAAATAACAGGAGGGATGAGAAAGTTGATATAACTGTAAACTGAATTTTTACTGACCCTGACAAATTATCTAATTGGCAGTTGAACCCCATGCCAGAAACAGAAATGCGTGCAGAGCCTCAGACTAATCATATCACACCCTTGTAGTTACAAAAACTGCCCTTATTAATAAGCCACCAACCAGCACTGTCTGAGGTTGTCTAATTTCTTTTCCTTTTGTCAATTTCCAGTGTGGCTAAAATCACCCTCTGAGTGCACAGGTCAATAAATGACATTCTTTTCTGCTGCACAGAACCTGAAGCGTGTGGCTGAGACCTGGATGGATGAATTTGCTGAGTACATTTACCAGCGGCGCCCAGAATACAGGCACCTGTCCACCGGGGACATCTCCGCCCAGAAGGAGCTGCGCAAACAGCTCAGGTGCAAGGACTTCAAGTGGTTCATGGCTGCAGTGGCCTGGGATGTGCCTAAGTACTACCCTCCAGTGGAGCCCCCACCAGCCGCCTGGGGGGAGGTGAGGAGAGACTGCATGAACCCTGCTCTTATCTCTGTGTGTCTGTCACTCTTGTGCTCAGGTGGTGGCACGGAACGCCAACACCACCCACTCCTTTGCCCTACAGCCAAGTAAGATTAGCTTACATCATCTCCAATAAGTGAACGTCCAACATTTTTTTCAGAAATTGCCAAGGAAAAGCCTTGATAGTCCTCAGCCCTTGATAGTCCCACCCAGAACCGTTGGCCACTGTTGACTCCCCAGGTGGATTTTTTAAAATACACCTGGAAAATGTCTTTATTTGAGGTTAGTGAAATTGCAGTAAGAGCTTGCAGAGAATGTCAATACCTGACGTGCTACTGTGTAAATAAGTATGACCAGATCCCCGTGATAGAATCCCTAGCGATCCACTGTGCACAGCCTTTGTTGCTATTTGTATATGCAAGGATGGGGTGCTGGAGAGGCTTGCTACCCAGAGGTGCTGTGCAGAATCATGAAGAAATGTATTTCCATAATACCCAGAACTGTGGCACACGCGGGAGCCACATGGGCTCCTTAAATAGGCACTAACCTTTCCACCTCGGAACGCTCTTTTTTATTTCACTGCATGATTTAAAATGGAAAAAACTGAACAGCCCCAGTTCCCAAATTTAAAAGATCTATCTTTTGGCATAGAAAGGACTATTGTGCTGGGTTCAGTTCCATTCACTCCTGTTACTATAGTCTTTTCCTCATAGAAAAGCATATGCTAAAACAAGGACTAAAATTGGATACTGTGGATTTATCCTAGCAATTTAATCTGCTTTTAGCAGGAGGCTGTGAGGGGGAAATTGCAGGCTGGGCGGGATGCTAGCTCCGTCCTACCTCTCGGGCTTTCAGAAGCCAGGAGTTGACTAGAGCGCATTGTGAGGGAGCCTTTTCATCATTGTCCTTGGTTTTGTGGTGTGGGGGAGGACATGCCTTAGCCTGCCAGGTGTCTGTGGCTTTGCAGAGGTCTGAACACAGAGTGTGGCAGGAGAGGCCAGGATACTGAGGCAGCATTCTTGAGTGAGCAGTCCCAGGTCCCATTGGAAGAGGTTTCACGAGCACCCGCTTGTTTGCTGAGAGGGTCCAAAAGGATGTCTTTCTCTCCCTGTGCCTGGGATACCCCAGGTGTGAAGGAGAGAGTCAAGGTCAAGAACATCTCCGTGCGTTCCATTTCCAAATATTTCTGAATGTGCACCTGATCCTAATATTGGCTGTTTGAGCCAGTTACTAATCTGATCTAACACTTGGCATCTTAAACATTTCCTTAAAGCTTCCCTGGAATATTAGTAATAATAATCTGCTCCTATTAGTTTTAGTTATCTGCCATGGGCTTAATTTATAGCAGTGAAAACGTAAAGTAGACCCCAAAAAGAGCTTTCTTAGTCTAATGCATTGTATGACACAGGAATTTGTTACTCGATAAGCAGGAGAGTGTCTTTGTAAGGTGTTTTTGGTTAAGGTTATAGCTACTACCTATAATAATTTTAAAATTTATTTATTTTAACTCAAGTTAGTTAATATACAATATATTATTGGTTTCAGGAGCAGAATCCAGTGATTCCTCACTCACATATGACATCCAGTGCTCATCCCCAAAATTTGCCAACTTAATACCCATTTAGCCCATCCACCCACCCACCTCCCTTCCAGCACCATCAGTTTGTTCTCTGCACTTAAGAGTCTCTTACAGTTTGCCTCCCTCTACTACTTATGATAATCTATCTCTCGAGAGAGAGAGAGAGAGAAAGTGCAGGAGTAGCAGAGTGAGGGAGACAGAGAATCCCAAGCAGGTTTTGCACTGTTAGCATAGGGCCCCCGGGGAGGGGGGGCGGGGGGGCTCAAACTCACAAACCTTGAGATCATGAGCTGAGCCAAAACCAAGAGTTGGATGGTTAACTGGCGGAGCCATCCAGATGCCCCTACTCATGATAATTTAAATGCAATTTTGCCTTAGTGACTCAGAAATACTCTCTAAGACCTCGAAACATCATTGTATGATTCACTGCCAGTTAAAATCTCATCAAGCTTTTCTCCATCTTATGTGGAAACATATATTTTTATTCCTACGTGGTTACTGCTTCAAACTGCAACAGATCACATTTTCCCATAGTATCTGACTAAACCATAACCTGTATTTATAAAACATCTTGCTTGGAAACAGACTCGAAGCTTCCACTGATGTTCTAAAAAAAATAAGAAGAAAGAAAACAAAAGAAAAAAAAACAAGAAAAAAAAGAACTTTCCAGAAAAGTCAAAATAGCCACCTATAGGCCAGATAGGCTACAGCAGAGGGTTGTTAGCCATTACCTTTGACTGCCTTACACCCTTAGGGGCATTTACATTCATCATTTCTGGTCTAAACAATTAGACGTCGAGAAGATCAGATTTTTTTTAACATGATGGCAAATTTCTTTCCCCAAAGCTTCAACACAGCATACAAACCAAGGTCATAGTTAGGTTTAGGGAAAGAAGAAAACTGGCTATAGTTCAAGGCCAGCTGCATTCAGTTGCAACTGCTCAGTGAAGTTGCAGTGCAAGAATGAAGACCTGGAAGATTGGAGAAGGCAGAAAGAAAAGAAACCAAGTGATGAGCATGTGGATTGGTCAAGAGTTTTGAAAAACATCTGTTTGACAAGCAGAGTAGATCCCTGAGAGTAGAAGTGGCGCATGTACACTTAATGCAGGAGGCAAGAGAAGTGTTGAAACGCAGCTTGATCTAAATGAAATGATGAAAAAGAGAACTTGTTTCTAACTATATATGGGGTAAAAGCAACCTCCTTAAGAGTGGATAAAAATTACTAAATGTGCAGAATCTATCTGGGGATCATTTTATCTCCAAAAAGAACTCTTTTGAAGCTATCACTCTTATGTTTTTGTTTCTTTTCCCTTTGAGAGGGCTTTTTTTAATGTCTTGTTTATTTTGCAAATTTTAAATTTGCAGAAAAGCTGCAAACATAGTACACAAAGTTCACATATAGTCTCCAGCCCAGTTGTTCCAATGCTAACACCTTATGTTTGCCACATTGACAACAACACACTCAAACTCAGTAATTAGCATTTGTACAATACGAGGAACTAAACTACAGATTGTATCCAGATTTCACCTGTTTCGTCACTAATGTCCCTTTTCTGTTTCAGGGTCCTATCCAGCATATGAAAGGGCTCTTTAATTTCCTATAAACTTTAAATTAATTGTTGGAATGGGCAAAGCTCCTAAATAAATGTAACAGGTCAATTGCTGTTTTTGTAAGAAAGTGAAAAGGGAAATGCAGACTGTGAGACTCTTTTAAAGCGGAGATAGAAAGGAACCACAGACCTCCAGCAATGTAAACACAAGAATCCTTTATGGGAGATCTGTGCCAGAAGCAGGGTAACTGGCTGTTTTATGCACTTGTACTTGGAACGGTTTCTACCTGCCTTTCTGTGCCAGCCCGATTATGGGTAAACAATGAAGTGCTTAGTCAATTTCTGGCCCCGGTTGTAAGAACCCACCTTGTAAAGGATATGTTACAGACCATAACTAGCCTATAAACTGCTACTCATTTCCCTGACAAATTCAGCTGGATTCTTGCATTTGTCTCCTAAATCGTCTCTCTGCTGCTGCCCTTCCTCCCTTTGGCTTATTCTCAACATAGTCCACTAAAAATGGGAGATCAGGCCACTCCTCATTCAAAACCTTTTAATTGGGGGCGCCTGGGTGGCTCAGATGTTGAACATCTGACTTTGGCTCAGGTCATGATCTCGCTGTTTGTGGGTTCCAGCCCTGCACCAGACTCACTGCTGTCAGCGCGGAGCCCACTTTAGATCCTCTGTTGCCTTCCTCTGCCCCTCCCTTACTCATACTCTCTCTCTCTCTCAAAATAAATGAATTAAAGAAAACATTTAAAATAAAACACCTTTCAATGGATACCATCTCTTTTGGGGTAAAACTCAAAGTCCGTACCTGTACCCTGAATGGTCTGACCTTTGTTGCATCCTCCCCTCCAACCTCATCTCTTACTATTCTACCCTCTGGCTTACTCTTCTCTAGGCGCTCTGGCCTCAACACCATTCCTCAGACAGGCCAGACACAATCCTACCCGAGGGCTTTTACACTTGTTCCTTCTACTTAGAATCCACCAGCCCCAGGAATCCTATGACTCCTTCTCTCACTTCTGTCTGGTTCTTACTCAAAAAAATTGTCTTCTCAGCAAGGCTTTCACTGACCGTCTGTTGTGTGCAAGAACTCCCACACACATGGACCTTCATGTTTAAATACTCTCTATCCCCATTCCTTGCTGTATTTTACTCCTCAGCATCCATCACTATATTGCAAGTTATATATGCATTTATTTATCATGTTTCTCATCTATTTCCCACACTAGAAAGCCGGCTCCATGTCACAGGGATTTTGTTTGATTTGTGGAGTTGCTACTGCTCTTCAGCAGCTAAAAAAAAGTGCTTGGCATATGGTAGGTGCTCAGTAAATATTCCCTGAATGAATGAATGAATGAATGATGAATGAATGAATGATGAATGAATGGAGGATTCTGGCGCCCTGTTGTCCCCCCTTGCCTCTCATTGCTCTGCCCACATACCTCCACATACCACACTGAGCCCTTGCTCCACCACGCAGAGGAAGAGTCTCTCTACCCTCCCTTCTTGGCCATATGACATCCACCATTTCAAAAATGTTGGCCAGGAAGAGAGTTTGAGGTTGGGATCTCACGTAGGGGATCATGAAGGACCGACAGGTCTGTGGTCCACATGACAGTCAAGCACGGTATTGAGTATTCTCTCCTCTGATACCCTAAGGAGAAGAAGGGAAAACTCCAAAAGTGAAAATCCTCTGCTCCAGCTGTCTCCAAACCTTCCCTGCCAGCTTCCTACTTAAAGGCAAGAAGAGATTAAAGTCACATCCAGTGGAGAAGCCCTCTCCAGAGAAGAAATCATTACAGCCTCTGGGTGGAGGATACTTGGGTAGATCATCCTCTGGGAGTGGGGAGAATGGGTGG